TAAACTGATAAACTAATTTTTTTTTTTTTTTTTTTTTTTAATGTATTAAGGGTCATAATGAATGGTCACAGTCCAAAAGAATAGCTCAACCTGAGAGTGAGTTAAGAAGCCTAAAATAGAGGGATGAAGAATTACTCATCTGCAGAAAGTTTGGCTTGGGTTTAGAACACTGTAAACCAATGAAAATTATTGAATGCTTACTGGGGGCAGATGTTATGCTTTGAGATTCTAACAATGAAAATATGTGTTAGAACTTAAAACTGTTTACCTGAGTGTTTTGTTAGAAATGCCTAACATCTTGTTTATTCAGCCTGCTTAATGAGCTTTGACACTCTGGAGAAGTCTGCAGTTGCATTACTGTTCCGTATGGTCCTCAGAAAATACTATCTTCTTTTCAAAACACAGCATACCTGGAGACCTTGAATTACTTGAGAACAGCAACTTTATTAACCAGTTTGGTAGCAGGTGGATGCATCTAGCCAAAGGTGGCTTTAATAAAACAAATGCCTTGTTTACTTAAAACATTACACCAAATATTTAGTATTTTGTAAGCAACTTGTGTACAAAGCATTTCAGTTGTGATTCCAGTAGTTGTCTGTTCAGCTGCTCAACAGCTTTTGTTATCTGGGTGCACTATTGGCTGGCCTCTAAACCAAAAAAATGGCACCGTAGGTAATTTGGCAAAATATTCTAGAGGAGAAATCTCTGTATACAGCCCTAAACTTCAGTATTTCATAGTAGAGCTTTGGAGATTTGCAGTTCACGCTTTTTGTCTAGTTTTCTCTTACTGTCCTTTGTTATAAATCTCTACTAGATTTGTGTCTAATGTTTTAATTTGTATTAAAGTATTATTTAGTAGTTTTAAGGTAGCTACCCATCTGAAATGTTTTTTATTTTAGGTTTTTTATTTTAGGGTGGTGGGGTTTTTTTGTTTGGTTTTTTTTTTTTTTTTTTGTATCTAGTCAAGTGTTTGACTTGACTTTACAAGACAGTGTTTAACTTAATGGGGGGCTGGCAGAATTGGTGTGTGTTGTGTTTTAAAATATAGCCGCTTTTGTGTTCTTACATTAGTTTCACTTGCTAATAAGTCTTCTATATATAGTAATAATGTATAGTCTTATATAATATTCATAAGATAAATGCTGCAGAAGAGCCATCCCTTAAGAAAACTACTAGAAAGGTATTTTGCATTAAAGTCATTCAGTAAAATAAAGAAAAAAAAGTTGGGAGATTTGCAGTTTGAACAACAGCTTCCCTTTCCTTCCAGTCACAGGACTGTAATTACCAGGTGATTTGTGCTGAATTTCTGGCCTAGTACCACAGCTTCAGCTGCAAAGTGTGTCCTCCCCTTCTTTGCCACAGTGTTGGGGTATTCACCTGTGAGGGGAGGGATGAGATTTGGAATTTCTTAATGCAGAAAAAGTGGTTTTCCTACACTCTGCTTAGGTGTTTTAACCACTTCTGATCTATAAAATTAAGTATTATATTTCTCTTAATAGTTTTGTTTTATTCTTATTTCATTCCAACTCTTATTTCAGAGAAAGGACAGATTTCTGCTTTTGCAAGAAAATGGTTAGAAGCTTATTTCCAGAAGGATGCAAGGTTATTGGAGAGAGTACTTGTCCCTAGAATCTGGTGCCTGGATGCCAGAAATGGGTATTACTTTAAGCAGTGTTTCTTGTGGTAATCCTAGATGACTCTCCAGTCAACAGTCTGTCTCCGGAATTCTGTCCCGAGTTATGTGAGGACATGGTTTCATGTTACTGGTTTATCATCTAGTTGCCACTAAGCAGGTACTTCTGCTCTACCTTGCCCCAGACCAGTTTCTCCTTGTTGCTTTGCCCATGTCAAATCTAGTGGTCTCAGTGCTGTGTTTTTTTACCCAGTTCAGTTGATGTGGTGCATAGAAAAAGAATAAAAACCCCTTCTGAATAAAACCTTTTACATGATGATTACCAAGTTCATGGATACTCCTAAGCTGTTCTATTTAACAGCAGTGTGTGAGGAACTGTTATACCTGAAAGACTGTGTAGTATCCATTTGTGTGTAATTTGGGGGCTCTTTGGAATGATGTGATGTGTATCAGAAGTTTGAAAACACTGCCAGTTTCTCTTATTTGGAAGGCTTATTAGTGTTCAACTCCTGGAAATTTAAGATTAGATCTAGCAACTAATTCCCAAAGCGGGTAGGTGGTAAATGGAGAAAGAGAAATTGGCAGTGATTGTGGGGGAGGGAAAACAAGAAAAAAGATGTAATCAACCAAAACCATGAGAAAAATGTAAATGTTGAGCAGTACGCTTTATAGGCCTCTCTGACTTATGAGTTATTCCACATAACAGGGAAGGAATAAAAACAGAGATATTTTGCTGGTGCTGTTCTGAATGTGAGGTAAAAAAAAGTCTATGTTGAAAATGTTTATTTCTGGAGAATATGAATTAGGTGAGTGTTGGCATTGAAGTACAGAAAGCAAAACTTCCTGATAATACAGACGATTCTAACCAAGTTTCCCTTTGGGGAAAGGTCATGTCTTTATATGTAATAGGTCTATCTTGGTTGTCATTTTGGATGTTTTCTTCTGTTGCAGTGATAGAGCTAGCACTGAAGAGAGCAGACCTGAAGATACTGGTGCTGCCTTTCTCCAGTCTGTAACCTTACCCATGAAACACATATTCATGACATGGGACAGGATTTTGTGGGCTGCTGGTTTTTATGGAAACAGGAATGGAGGCTCTCTTTGTAAGAAAGGAGCCAGTGAGCAAAATCAGTGTTAGGTGTACTAAAGAGTTCCTTAGAGTTGACTGAACTGCTCGGGGGGGGGAAAAAAGGTTAGCTGTGTTGTTACTCTGATGCTTGGATTGTCTTGTCTTAGAGACTTGGAAGTCTCTACGTGTGGCCATGTTTCTGAACTTTACTGAATTGTGAAAAATAAGCATCTGGTATTAGGTCTTGCAGCACATAAAACAACAAAAAAACCTCAACCAAAACCCAGCCAACCAACCGAAGAAACAACAGTAAAAAAAGAGGGGAGAAGGGGGAAAGAAAATCTACCTAAAATAAAATAATAAAAACCAAACAAAAAAAACATGCAAACCTCCAAACACACACAAAAAAGCATGAACAAATAACTCTTCCTCCTCCCTTCCCCCCTCCCCCCCAAAAAAACCCCAGCAAACAAACCCACAACCAAAAAACGTTCACGTCTTTCAGGCTCAGTTGTTTTTTGTCTAACTTTGACTTGGGTAGTGTTTATAGTAAATGCAGTTTGTCAATCTTTAGCTACAAGTTGTGTTTAGAGATACTGTGAGACCAAAATCACCTTTTAAGACAGAAGTACCTAATTTACTGTTCAAGTGCAGTTGAAACTAAAGTGCTTGACTTCAGCAGAGGCAGTGGCTTATGGTAAGCTCAGCCACCTATAGAGATATTCTGTTCTCAGAAATTGTAATATTCAGATTCAAAATTCTTCAAAATTTCAATTTCTTATTTTTCTTTCTGATTAATTCCTCTTCTAGAGTTAATTTTTCTATGTGCATGCACCAAAGATTTTATTATCCCTTGGAGATAATAAAAAAAACCCCCAACAAACTAGCTTCTTTCACATAAATTATGAACTATTTTTTAATTTGTTTGAAAAATCCGTAGCTTTTTTTAAGAATACATAAAAAATCTTCTTTCAGTTTTTAGAAGATTAAAATCAACCTAATTGTCTTAAATGCCAGCATCACTGAAAAAAAAGGTCAAGGTGTTTATTCTCTCCCCACCCCCTCCATAATTCACCAAAACTAAGTTTGCACTGAAATTGTTGGGAATTATTTTTATTATCCGTCTTAACTAAAATATTTGTTCTTTCTTAAGAAATGTTTCTTTGAGCTATGAAATTTCTTTCTCAAAAGTACAGAGACACTCAGCCTCTGAAGTTAATGGCTTATAATGATTATGGGGCAATAACGGTATTTTGAGAGTAGAATTTTGAGAATAGAGCATCTATGGACAGATAATTAACACTTTTCCAACAAGTTGTTTGTGCCAGAATATTAAAGGCACAAGATTGTTTCTTTGCCTAGTATTTGAGTATTGTTTGAAAAGTGATCTTAATGTGTTATCAGCTGTATGGAGTAACTTAATTTTGGTTTATTTGTTAAGCAGCTGCGTTTAATAGGGGGAAATGAACTCCTCCAGAGAGACTGGTATTGGGAGGGAAACTTATTTTCTTTGAACTTTCATAACTTCACCATTTCACCCTGCTGTATTTTGATCTTGAGAAAGAAGGGCAGAAACAACTCTGAATTGCCTTTTTTTTTATTTGTTTTTCTAAGCTTGTCATGGCTTTGAAAATCCGTTGTGGAAACCATTTTCTCAGGAAAGAATGCACCCAGTGCATTGTGTCTGCATGCCATGGAAAAGGAGGTGGTTTGTTGCAACAGCAACTCTTGCTTTAGTAATATACCTTTCATATTTACAACAAAGACAACAGACAGAGAAGGAAGAGTGCTATTTCCTGGAAGAAAGGGCGAGAGGCTGTGATAATGCAATCAGATTTTAAAAGCAACATATTACTACCGGCTTTTGTGACCCATCTTGCGAGCTTTTCTTTGTTTGCTGAGTACTCAGTAACATTGTGTGCAACAGGCTCATCTCCTTTGCAAAGGATATTGTATGTCCAGGTCTTTAATTTCACCTGGGTTTTTTTATGTTTGTTGCAAGTGTAATATTGGTTCCATAATGAGTGATACTCATTTGGATAGATGAAGATTAAAAAGATGAAAATTCTGAAGTTTCTTGGAATTTCTTGCACGTTGTTATATTAGCGTGGTTCATTAAATTGGTCACTAACTGTATCTAACAGTTAGAGGAAATCTAACCTCTTGTTCTGCTGAGATTGAGTAGCAAATTTTGTGTATGCTTTCAGTTGTCAGAAATCTTGGGGAGCATTAGAAACTCAACTTTAGGAAATGCATTTGACTAATGGATCACTCCTTCATTTTTCCCCCTGCAGGTTCGATCTGTGGATGAGATGAATCATGAGTTTCAAGCTCTTGCCCTAGAATCTCGGGGAATGGGAGAGGTAATTATTGACAGCTGAAAATCCAGTTGGTTGGAAATGTTGGTAAAATTTAAGAAGTCTTAAATAATATGACATGAATCAAAGGTCTTCTCTTGAGACCAGTTGATTTCTCAGGCAGCTGAAGGTGAAGATAAACTATGTACTTTGGAAGAACACTGAGATGGTTATTCACTGGATTTACTGTGGTATTGTGTTGGTCTGATTTGATGACTGATACTCTTGGGGAAGTGACAGGGTAATTTATTTGAAAGTTTGTGCAGCTCTGTGAAATGAGACATGTTCTCAGTATCACTGTATCTACACTAGTGAAACAATTGTTTACTATCTCTGAGAAGCCAAAGAGACTGGGATCTGGAAAAGGTCTGGCTTCCAGAAAAAGTGAAACTGGCATACCCTAGCAGAAATGTGTGGTTATTTACTGGTAATTTTATTGCTAATTACTCCTTAAAAGAAGATTTTTAACCAGGGAGAAGACTGCTATTATATAATTTGGCTAGAGGGAAGAAGGACTTACTTGCTTCATTTGTTCGGGGTTTTTTTGCTTGGTTTTGAGTTTGTTGTTTTAAAGTCAGTCTGTTTGGAGGGATCACAGAGAATGACTTGGCTCTTTCAAAAGCAGTTCCCTGAACTGTTTAGAAAGTAATCAACGTGCATTAGGGTTACTTGCCCTGACAGGACATGGTAATGAATTAAATTCATGTTGAACTAATATTTCATATAATGATTCTTTTGTCTTGCCAGATATTTACCTAATTCAATTGACAGTTGAACCAGTGACAATATTTCAGCTTAACTTTCTTAAAACAATAGGACCATGTACAGAAACCATAACTTATTATTAAAAATCAAATGCCATGTTCTAGTGGCTGCATGTTTCTGAGCTGGCACATGGCTATTCTTGATTTTTTTATTTTTCTTTTTTTGCTTCAGTGAAGCATTTAACCAGTCAGTTGGCTTTTCAGCAATTTTTGCTTCGTCCAGAGTTCAACGTCTGTCTTTAACCACGTGCTTTTGAAGAAGCACTAATAGATGAAGGCCTGTTCTTTAGAAAGCTGAGTAGCTGCATTGGATATGCTTGCTTCCTTCTGTCCATCCTGTCCCCCCCTACCCCCAGCTCTTAAAACTCCTTTTGAAAGGTAAAGGCGTTAGTAGGGTATGTGTGATAGTACCAACAGTTGTGATAGAGCGAATGAGTAAAATTCTTATTTGTGTTTGTTCTTTTGCCACCCATGATGTACTCTGAAAGATTGAAAGCAGAGAAAGTGAAGGATGGCGCAGATGTCTGGGTATTGAGGTATATGTGACTGCTTATACAAGTCTCAGATGGAGGGACATACTTCTGCATGGTTATGATTTAATTTGTTTTCATGGTATTCTGTGGATCTGTGAAGATGTTTCATAAAAAAAAAAAAATCACACCAAAACCCCAAAATTCAAATACCCCTACACACAAAAATCCAGAGTTATGTTACAGTACTGTAGCATCAGAAATTGATACTATATTGTGACCCTGCAGTTACTAGGTTATTATGTATTTGATTTCAAGTTTTGTACAGGTATCTTGGGGTAATACAGATTCACACAGCTAGGCTAAGTCAGTAATTTTCTTACTATATTGCACAAAAGCAAAGTAGTTCTGGAATAACCTTCTTTTTGATTATAACCTTCCAAAATATTATGGGAAATGTCCTCATAAATACCTTTGTAAGCTAGGACTGGTAGTTGTATGTTCTTAGGTGATGCCCTCTGTCTACTTTGAAAGGTGTGAAAGGGAGGTCATGTCAAGTCTGCTTCTAGCTATTGGGAAGTTGTTCTCTTCCTCGTTTTCTCTGTCTGGATAGATTTTTCTCTGAACTGAAATTGATTTCGTGTTCATAACTCTAATCCTTGGTCTTTTTTTTTCCCCCTTCTGAGAATCAATACTTGGCGTTAGGAGGCTGTTAAGTCTTGCTTTTCACATCATTACTAGAATCAAGACTGTCTGTGAATCCTGAGCAAGTATGTCTTCCATGTGCTAATGCAAAGTAATGTAGTACAAAATCTGTTTTCATTATACCATAACACATTTTGGAAATAATACATACTGGAGATCCTTCTGTTAAGCAATCCATCTGAGCTGCATTCAGATGGAGCCTGGTCTCAATCACTATCAGGACTAGGACAGTGTAACGTGAGCCAGTCGTACTGTTTCCTTGATCTGTTTTTGTTTTGCAATCCTTTGTTAGTTTATTCTGTAAAGAAAGAGAATAAAGTTTTATTAGCAAGAGATCTGCTGATTGCAGGCATCCTTCTCTAAATGTCTTCTGAATTTTTAGCTCTTAGATTGGTTATACACAGATAATGCCTCTGGCTTCAGCTCCCAAAAGCTATCATGATCCTTGAGGTCGTGATAATACTCTGAAGAAATAACGACACATGGTGCTATTTCTCTTCTCTAGGCATCTGTTATTTGCTATTTCAGGGCCAGCACAGTGGGCTTTGGGTCTTTTTGTGTGACCTAATGCAGGCTTATGTAAAACCTACTGCCAAACAGAATATCAATCCAAATATTTTTTGATAATGTCTATTCTTATAGTAACTTAGAGGATGAAAACACACACAGATTTCTTTTGAGGTATAGTGTATACATTTCTCGTGTCAAAACTTCATTCAGAGAACTCATAGAAGGCTCTGTAGGATTAACTTCTGATCCTAAAAATTAAAAAATAATTCAGGAGCCAGTAATTGAGTCTGTGCAGTTACTTATCAGAGAGCTGGTTAAGAGGCAGCTTTAGCATAATTGGTAATTATCTTTGTGTAGAAAAGGGCTTTATTCATCTGGCAGAGACACAAAAGGGATCAGTGTTGATACTGAAAAAGACACTTTTAGTGTACTGTTGGAAGAGCTTTGTAAGAAATAGGGCAATCTTTCTCCATTATTTTGAATTAGAATCGGGTATATCTTTGTGAAGTTTCTTTTTTCTTGGGTTAAGTGCAGGAAATCTTGAGCATGACACATGTTATCAAAGTATGATGATATTAGCTACTCGTGTTAATTTGTGATGATTTCTTGATTAAGTCTTTTTCAGTAAAACTAATCAAGTGTTGTTTTTTTTTCCCCTGGTCTGTTAAAGAGGAACATACTTGTTTTTGTTTTCTGAAAAGTACTCTTTTGAGTTCCATCATTAAGAAGTTGATAGCTGCTGGGACTCCTGATTTACATGGCAATCCAATAGTTTGAACATCCCTTTAAAAAAAGCATAATGTATGTCATACCCATCATCCGTCAAAAAAAAAAGTAAATAATAGATCACTGGGCCTTGGAGGTGCAAAATTGTAAACTTTAAAAAAAATCCATTCATTTAAATATGAGGGACTTATGTAGCGTTTTTAACACAAGCCTTTCTGTAAATCTGTTTGATCTTCAATAGGATAGAGTTTAAATTTAGCCTCGTGAGGTATAGATGATGCATTATGTCTTGTGTTAAAGATGCTGTATATTCTTTGAGTACCAGAGTACATGAAGACTTCAAGCAGTTGAATATGTCTGAAATTTGACAGTATGCATATTTGCATATTGTTTCTAACATTGTTTTTCTTGGATACCTGTCTGATAGTGGAAGTTACTAATTTCAGGCTAAGCACACTTTAACATAATGCTCATTTTATGCCACCCAGGATATTACTGGATCTGTTTTATTCTGACACAGTTGTGTGGTTCTGACACCTTTGCTTCTGTATTTCTCGTAAGTCTTATCTCAGCTGGACACACGTTTGAACTTGTCTTAGACTGAATTTAAAATAAAATGTGTTTCTCACACACACACGGTTTCTCAAAACCAAGGTTTCACAGATACTAAATTCTTGCATTCTGTTCTACCACTATCCTACAAAATGACAAATCAATAGTACTGTAAACTTCTTATGATATAAAGCTAAAAAGATGAGTAGAGTGCATAGGCTGATCTGAAATTTATCATTTGCATTTAGTTGAACAGTGGTTGTAAGGTTCCATGAATCTGTTTTTCTGTCCTCTGATGGCTAACTTCATCCTTTAAATTTGGGGTAAGTAAACTTAATATCCTGGTGCTCCCAAAGTATGCTTGGATAACACCTGGTGATGATTCTGTCACTCATGGATGAAGTGGGCATCTCTTCTGGGACAGGTTGCAGCAGTGTAGTGCTCTTGCAAGCATAATACTCTTCTGTAGTTGTGTTGAGCTTTGACTGTTTATCGCCTTCCACCCTGAGTCCTGTGCTAATGAATTTATGTAAGGAACCCAGGAATGTCAGTAGGTTAGGCAGCCAAAATACTTTTTCTGATAAGAGCTCTTGGCAGCAGAGAAAAACAGCAATTGTCAATCCTTAAGTTACTCCAGAGGAGCTTTTACCACTTCTGTTTCAGTGTTAATGTTGGAGTCTGGCAGTCTTTGCTCTTCTTGAAGCTGTTTTCATGAGCTCTTTTGGTGCTACACTAAAATACCTAGTTTAATCAGGGCTCATACTAAACAGCAAAACTCCAGAACATACTTGTTTATTGCAAACAAAGCTTTATATGAGGTTATCTTAAACACACACACACACACAAAATTTATAAGATTTTAAATTGAATGTGACATTTTCAAAATCTGATGGATTACAGTGCTGTCTTCCCTAATTTTTTTTCTTTCTTTGAGTTTTGTTTCTTTAAGTTGCTTTCATTGCAGTTTCAGTTGGGGGACCTCATAAAGTACGTCCCTGGCCTGAGAATACAGACTTTTAGATACTTATTGAAGAGAAAATGTGATATGCAGACTTTGGCAGTTGCGCTGCTACCAATGGAAAAAGTTAGAGGAATAAAGAAAAAGCACTAAAATAAAAGTAAAGAGAATGCTGACATTTGAGATATTTTTTTGTTGTGCAGTGCTTCTGTCAAGTCACATGAAGTCTTCTCAAAGACAGTACAGTACTGTCTAGTGGTACCAGTGGTACTGATCTAACTAAACCTTCTGCTTTAGAAGTTGTACAGCTAAATGGTATGTGGAAATTGAAATCTGAATGTCACAAATCTGTAACCAGCAGATCCCTGTGGTCTAAAGGAGCTGATTTGCCACCATGCCCTAACATTTGGAGCATGATGCATTTCTAATGGAACAGAACTTTAAAATGAACTGTTGTTGTTTCTGGTTATCACGATAGCATTAGTTAAAGGCCAAACTTTTGAACCTACGTGGGAAGAAGGCAGTGTTCATTAAACTTTGAGAGGATTGACATGGTTTAACACAGGGATTAATTTGATGAGTTTTTTTCACAGCTGCTTCTGTCTCTTGCTTATAACTTCAGAATCTCAGTCTTTTTGGGGTCATTCAAGCAATTTCTTTATACAGATTCAGCTTCAGTAAGAGAACTTTTAAGTGTTTATTCCTTGGCAGTGTGTGCTTCCTTATGTAAAGCTGACTTTGTTATTTCAAATTAATTACTTGCATATCCTCTTAATAACCATATTTTAAATAAACCCATTTCCTCTTTTGGAACAGCTTTTACCGGCCAAAAAGTTTTGGGAACCTGATGATTCAGCAAAAGATGGACAAAAAGGGATATTCCTTGGTGATGAGTGGAGAGAGACTGCATGGGGAACTCCTCGTAAGTGACTGATGTATAGCTATTGAAAAATTAGTCATGTTTGGTAAATGTTATTTCGAAGTAAATTAATATTATAAATTTTATTTATGTATTGGATTTTATTTTCCTTCAGTTTTAATTGTGAAAATGTATATTGCAGTGGTGCTTGAGTGCCAATAACACTTCTTGAAACCAGGGTTTAGAATTTATTTAAATTTGGACTTAATATTGGTTTAATATTGCCTCTGTAATAAAACGCAAAAACATTTCAAGTTGTATTTAAAAAAATACAATAGTTTAATGTATTTATTTGTTTTTAACAGACCATTCTATGTCCCAACCTATTATGGTACAGAGAAAGCCTGGACAGGGTTTTCATGGAAACAGTGAAGTAAATGCTGTATTGTCTCCACGATCAGAAAGTGGTGGCCTTGGAGTGAGCATGGTAGAATATGTGTTAAGTTCCTCTCCAGCTGATAAATTGGATTCCCGGTTTAGGAAAGGAGCTTTTGTAAGTAATGCAGTGTGTTAAGCTTGTCTGTTATGGTCTTACTGTCTTACATGGTTTTGTTTTCTACTCTGTTTGTCTATTTTCCTTTTTAAACTCTTTTGTTTAGAAGGAAGTGTGTATTCACTATCTGTCTGTCTTCCTTGGTTGGAGGGGGCAGAAGAGGGAAGTGGTTTTGGAATCTTGACTAAATAGCTGTCTTTAAAAAAGTGTTTTCCTATTGCTTTTAAATAAAGGAAGGAAAAAGATTGCAAATAGCCTAATTTAAAATGTGTGATGGGCTTTATTCTAGATCTTTCTATTCTGTGTTTCCATGAGGATTTGTTGTGTACTAAATGTGTTAACTGTGTAAAATAAACTTTATCTAATTTGAAGTGTTACTGCTTTAACAGCACCGCTATAGTTAAGGTTGAGTTAGCTCTTCCATTATAAATCTTGGCATTCCTTTTCACATTTTGGCAGTTATTAATTGCATGTGGTTGAAACTTGATGACCAAGTTACCCACCAAATGCAATTTCATTGAAAATAAACTGTTTGTATTGTTTACGTGCACTGTAGTGTAGAATTAGGTCACCTTGTGGTGCTCCTATTGTGTTCTGTTCAATATTCAGAATCAAACAGATTCTTTTTCCTCAGGGCACTAGAGATGCTGAAACAGATGGACCTGAGAAAGGAGATCAGAAAGGCAAGGCTTCTCCATTTGAGGAGGACAAAAACAGAGATCTTAAACAAGGAGATGATGAGGATGTTACTAAAATAAATGGCAGAGGTTTGCCAAATGGAATGGATGCCGATTGCAAAGATTTTAAGTAAGCTTTTAACTGTTTCTCAAGAAGACAAGCATGTCTCTTAAGAGCATTATTACAGTTCTGGTTTATGTGTCAGCTTTAAGCATTATCCAGCTGCAGAGTGATTCTCCCTACCCCACGTCCTCCCCTTCCCACTGTGCCACATGTTTCTTAGGATGTCAATGTATGTGTCACTTCTCATGAGACAATTACATCTTAATATACTAATTTTTCAAATATGGGTACCTTTAAAATGTGGTGAATTAAAGAGGGATGAAAACTTTAACCCTTTTAATTTCAAACTAAATTCCTTTCTCTCTGCTGCTTCTTAATACTCCTAGCTTTTGTATCTGATTGTTTTTGTAGAGAGTAAGTCCTTCAGAATTTTAATTTTCCTTTTAATTTTGCTAATGGTTGCCACAGCCGAACACAAATATTTCCCCACAAAAGTCTTCATAGAAACCATTAATTTGACTAAGGAGAAACAAGGTATTTCCCTGTTCACGCAGTTTAATGTCACCTATTCACAGTATAGAATCGTGGTGTGGTTTGGTTGTTTTCTTAGGGGAAAAAAAATTGGACCAAGCTCAAGCTTTTGAACTGTGAACTCCTATATGACAGCACAGCCAGCCTGTTTTTTCCTAATACTAAGCTGCATTTTAAATTGGGTATTTTTAAAGGACTAACTTTTGTTTCTAAATGACCGTGATGCATTTGTAACTTGTCATATAGAAGAATTAGCAAGATCAGAAAACCAGAGTGCTCCTCATAAATTTGTGTTAATGTGATGAACATGACTGAATAGTTGTGGTTTCATTACTTCGTAACTGAACAACTATATTAAAATGCATGTTTGAATTCCATATGTAAGTATTTCCTACCCTTTAAAAAATGTATTTACCTGAGGCTAAGGAGGGATTCTTCAGGTCTATTTTTCAAGACGTATTATTGAAAAGAATGTAATACCAAGTATGTTACAATTAGAGAGCTCAGATTAGCTCCTTTCGGATGCATGCTGCAATATGCACAATAAACAAAGTTGCTTTCAGTATTACATGTAGAAAATACACAATAAATTTTGTCCTGCTTTTCTTTACCAGTATCTATTTCACTCTTGAAATAGTTGCTTGCAAAGCACCTTTCATATTATTTAAAGAGATAAATTATTTAAAAAAAAAAAAAATAGGTGCAAAAAAGCATCCAAAGCCAGTAAACCTCTCAACAAAAAATAAGGCCATCTAATTTAAATGGGCCATATAAAGTGGTGGTATAAACCCTCCAAACAGAGGTTTATAATTGAAGTATTGACACAACTTTAACTATAGCAACAGAACAGCACCAATGTAAGGAGCAACCTATATTAGGTAAACATAAGTATTAACAAAGAAACTTTGTCCTGTCCTCCTCCTTGTATTCTTATTGTACTTACAGCTTTTTTTTAAACTATGTACTTAAATAACTGCCTTTTTTCCTGTTGTTCTTCACTTTGTTGATGCTGTACGTCACCTGGGAAGAATAAAGAATATTAAATGCCTTCAAACTCAAGTTTGTATGTTGAGCAAGACATAGTTGCTAGCTAGGATACTTAGGTGGTAGCCAGTATGTTGTAGATGTTCACATTGTTACATTAAAAAAAACCCCAAATTCTAGTGTAAGTGCTTTGTCTCTAAAGTATTTTGTCCAAAGTAATAGATGATACAGTATTGTTGAATAAACTCAGTAAAAGACTGCTTTCTAGCTATACAGTTAGAGTCGGTATCAGCAAGTACATAAGTATTGGCAGATTTGTTTGCATAAATCTTGTGCGTCAGTGAGGAACAGATATTTCAACCTTGGGGCCCCGAAGAGGGAGGAGGAGAACAAGTAGTACTAAGGCTTTGTCTCTGTCCTAGAATTAGCAGGATACCATACTGGTCTGGCAGTGTACTGCTGGAATAAACGTAGTTTCATCCTGCAAGATGGCATTTTGTATCTGAGCCCAGATTTCATAATTAAAGCAAACTTGTATTTGTCGTATGTTTCCTGAGAAACAATATATAATTATTGAATTCTGCCAACACAATAATGCTGTTAAGGGATCATAGCTTCTATAACACAACTCCTTCCTAATAGCTGACTCTAGATTTTTGCCAGTAAAAATCAGTAGTGTAAGCAATTTGGCCTGACAGAGACATTGGGGTACGACTCCAAATTAAAGTACCCTAAATCTAACCAAATATAGGGTTGGGAATCTGTTAGATGTGAATGTGTTGGCCTCTCACTTCAAGTATTTGCCCGTGGGTCTCTATAGGTTCACAGAAATTCCTCTGTAGTCAGTACAGCTGGTGGTGATGAGAGAATACTTCAGTTTTAACCCAGAGTAAACTCATACTGACTGCTCAGTTGAGTTGCTCTCTAGGCTCTGTCAATGCTGTTGACTAGATTTTCTTGTCGTCTGATGGGAATTTGAACACAAGTGCACCTAGAGATGTGAAAGTGTAGCTGTCTGCATCTCAGTTGCCACCAGTCCTTCATACTTGGAAACTGAATTTTCAGGGATTTGGCAAAGTAAGTCATGACTCTCATTGTCAGCAAAAACCACATACGCATGTTTTGCTTAATCCTGAAGTTTTTCTTTTGGAACAAGAGGCTATACTTACTCTTAAAGGAAATTGAGAGGGTATCAGTGGAATTATATTAGGAACACTTCCCCCCCCCAGCCAGTCATCTGGTACGGCGTAGTCTATAAAGTGAGCTGTGTAGGAAATGAAATGTTTTAGTCAAATGCTAAATGAGGCAGTTTTACAGTCCATTTTACTGAAGGTAAAAAATGTATTGTTTCTTTCAAGATGTGAACGATACTTGCTATATTGTATGTTTATCTTTTCCAGTTGGAAGTTTTATTGTCTGTCTCTCCTTTGGCATGAGATGCACATAGCCATTTCCTTTTTTCTTTTTTCCTGCTTTTAAACTTCAGTACATTTTCTAATCATTTCTGTCGCTCCCAAATGCAATGAAGAGCCATCCCCAAAAGTTACAGGTGACTGCAGTCCACTCTACATCACTCAAAACAGTCTCAAAGATGAGTTTGTTTTTCTCACAGTGATTTGAAGAGCTGTATAGTTTTAAACTTTAAAAAATAATAAATAAAATTGTGCCTTGAAGTGAAATGAGCCACTGATGCATGCTGTTTAAAATTGTTAAAATCAGTCTGTAGCTTCCCTTTGTAAAGTCTCTTGAGTTCTATTTTAAAATAGAAATGCTGTACTCTGTCCATGGACAGCTTTATTTAAGACTGAAGAGTTTATCTTTAATTTCTTCTGAACAGTCGTACCCCTGGAAGTCGACAAGCCTCCCCAACAGAAGTTGCTGAACGCTTGGGCCCCAATCCTAGCACCACAGAAGGATTGGGTCCACTTCCCAATCCTGCAGCTCACAAGCCTCTGGTGGAAGAATTTTCAAATCCAGAAAATCAGAATCTAGATGCCATGGAACAAGTTGGTCTTGATTCTCTACAGTTTGACTATCCTGGCAGTCAGGTACAGATGGACTCTTCAGGAGCTACTGTAGGACTTTTTGACTACAATTCTCAGCAGCAGGTTAGTACTGGAATTGAAAACATGCTGAATTGATCGTTCAAGCTGTGCATTATACTCTCTGATCATCAGTCATTTCAGCATATAATGCATTTAATTATTTTGTCTGTGACTTAGAGGCATATCAATGTGTATTTAATCTAGAAGAATATTGTTTCATAGATTTCTGGTTTAGTAATTTATTAGGATAGAAGCTTGGTTTAAAATATTTTTTTTTTTTTTTGTAAGTAAATCCCGGTATATTATAGCTCTGACTTCTGAAAACTGAAATGCATCTTTTTTCTTTTCCAATAGCTTTTCCAGAGGACTAATGCTCTGACTGTCCAACAGTTAACAGCAGCCCAGCAGCAGCAGTACGCACTGGCTGCAGCTCAGCAGCCACACATAGGTGAGGTTTTTGTAAAGTACATCAGGCATCCCTGGCAAAAGTGGGATTTTGAAATAGAAATTCTGTGGGGGTTTTTCTGTCCCTTCAAAGGAATTCAGTGTATTAACTGGATGCATAAAGTTTTTAGTGTGCTGGCAACTCAACAAGGAGGCAGACGGGGGTTAGCAGCCTACAGCTGGGGTTTAAAAGTGGCAGGTCTTCACTGTTACGTAGCTGACTAATACAGTCTTACAGCTGGGAGCATGGCAAATCAAGATATTTGTGGGATCCCCAGGTCTTGTCTTCTGTCTGCCTTTGACTTCTAAACTGCAGAGAAGTCCCTGCTTTATACAGTGCTGTCTGAGCAGTCAGCTGTGTCTTGCCCCTTGGAAATGCAGTCTCTTCTGAAGTTCATTGAAGTTCATCAAGAAGCCTCCTATTTGGAAGGAGGAACATAGTTTGATGTGCCATGCTTTCTGCACCGTTTGCTGCCTCAGTGTTGGAAAAAATACATTAACCTGGTAGACTGGAGAAACTGGGTAGGAATGCTTTGTTTGCATTCTCCTTCCATTACAGTCCTTATATCAAATTTGGTTTCTTGAAAGTAAGATTAGCATCTCATAACTGGCTGTTTAAAAGCCAGGTATTTGATTTAAACTATTTCGTTAGATTCCCCCCCCCCCGCCCCCCTCTTGTCAAGGAAAAGAGATTTGTATCTCTAGTAGGTGATTCATTCTTTCTGGCTGTTTCACCTAAGACACTAGATGATTTGGCTGATAGAGATTTGTTGCAAGACTAGTGTAATTTTTAGATAGTTAAGGTTGGGCAAGGTGAATTCTACTTTGAATAATGTTTTCTGTATAAGGGTGGGTAGATACATAGGAGATAAATCGCCTTGGTGTCTGTAGATCCAGCAGAACAAAGCTGTTAGGCCTTAGGATTAGTAAGACAGGACTGGTGAGAAGACATGAAGTGTTGATTTCTGTAATGGTGTACCTGCTCATAGAAAATCCTGAAGTACAAGCAGTTCTGATTCTAACAGATATGCTTTGTGATTTGATTAGTTTGAATATGATGGTGCTTGCTAAGTATGTTAGCTATAATTAAACTTTGTTTATTACTGTAGCAGGCGTATTCTCAGCAGGCTTGGCTCCAGCTGCTTTTGTGCCAAACCCATACATTATCAGTGCTGCTCCTCCAGGTACTGACCCATACACTGCAGCTGGATTAGCTGCAGCAGCTACCCTAGCAGGTAACTGAACACTTTCTAGTGTTTATCTTAATAATTTTACTGAATGAAATTAGAAAAAAGCTGAAATCCATCCTGTTTATTCTCTGCAAATGTATTTCTAGGAAGGAGGGACTTGTAGGAAAATTAATATTGTCATTTTCAAAAATTTCACTAAAAAGGAAAGGGATCCAGTTTCTGTTATATGTGGATTCTGAGTATTTCCACTGGCCTTTTATACGCAACAGTTAGGTTTTTGCTGTTCTAAAAATGTTTATCCTTAATAAAGTTTCATCTGACATTAGTAGAATGTATTATTTTCACAAGATGAGACAGCTAGCCTTTCCTTGTATGTTTTTACTCTGTGCATTTATTTCCTAATTCCAGGTTTTCTCATTCCCAGTGGGCATGAGAATAAAGATGTTGTCCAGCATGCTAAAAGGCCCAGACAACAGATAAACCCCAAGCTCAGGAAAATCTCTTAGAAGTTAGTAGGTATCACTGTGAAACAACGCCACTGAGTATTCAAGTCCCAGCTAGTGCTCAAACCTGAGCATTACATTTTGTACAAAACCTGTATCTCCAGTTGGTGGTTTCACAGGAAAGGCAGTAGAAAGAACCAAAATGTATGTGTACATAATGCGTGATATGTACAATGCAGTGATACAGAGTGCTCAATCTTCTACAGGTTCTTTATGAATAGACTAGAAGAGGTAAGTGTGCCCACTCTGGAGAGTGTAATGTAGTAGGCAGGGGAGGCAGAGGCAGTAGTTGTGTTTATAAGCAAAGGAAGCAGACAGAAAGGAGGAATAAATAATAGATTATTAAAGTCTCAGTGTAGCACTGCTGTGAGGATGAATTTGGTTCATTCTGTGGTGTTCTGAAATGATCTTTTTTCCAACCATGGAAACTAATTTTGAGTGTTCTTTGGTATATAAACTTTGGTTAAGTTTAAGTTGTCACCCAAGTCTCACAAGGGTATTTTTTTTTTTTTTCATAAGGAAGGTATGTTTTGATGGGTATCCTTTAACCCATTTGTGTTCATGTATCATTTTAGCTAATATGGGAATTGATTTCTTTTTTAATACTGATTTCTGTTTTGACATTTAGAGAATAGATCAATGACGGATGCTACAAACAATATACAGTTACTTTAGCTGCAGTGGATGGCATAATCATATTTTCTGGTTTTAGGTCCTGCTGTGGTTCCACCTCAGTATTATGGTGTTCCATGGGGGGTGTATCCAGCCAATTTATTTCAGCAGCAAGCTGCAGCAGCAAATACCACCGCAAATCAGCAAGCTGCTTCGCAGGCACAACAGGGACAGCAACCGGTATGTTCTTTGTAAAAAGGAGATGTGCATTTAAAGCCTTACCTTAACGCTTTCTCAATATAAATATGAGCTTCTAGAAATTATCACATAATTTGGATATTGTGTTGTATCAAATAATACATGGTGCATTTAAAAAAACATTATGCAGTCTTTCAGTGGCCTTTTTCCATGAAGGAAAAGCCCAAATCTTATAATGATCTTACACTTGAACGAATGTTAACTTTGGTTGGTTTACTGGCAGTATGGTTAATTTCAATTCCATTCTGACAAATTTAATACAAGAAGTGACTTCTGAGTTACCATGAAGTTGTAGAGTAGCTTCATCACTGTTTAAATACTCAGGGGTGGATCTTTCCTTCTACTGATAATTGTTATCAGTGAACTGCATTGATAATTAAATGTATATAATCTCTCCAGTGTTTTTTTTTGCTTTCTCTGTAAAATTAATATCCAATTTATGCAGATCACAGGTAAGGTATTTTGTGGGCATATATTGTAAATTGTATTTCGGTCTTATTTTGGAACCAGGGATTATTTTACCAAGAGGAATAGAGTATTTGCAAGAATTTAGGTTGCTATGCAATCAGAGATAAGCTGTCAGAAGATAACAAAATACACCTGTGTTGCATGGTAATAGTGTTATGTGAATTCTTGAGACTTGGTGGATGCATTTTTGCAGCTCTCTTGGCACTCTAGTGTTAATTACTTAGATGAGTTAACTACAAGCTCTGAAGTTTTCAGACTTGCATCATTCAGTTACCTGAAAATAATGTAAGTGAATGTATTTATCAGGGAAGGACAGGTGTTCAGTTAATAAATAGTGCAAATCATAAATGTATAACTCTTAAAGATTTTTGTCCTTTATTACCATTGATGGAACACACGTGGTCTCTGCTGTGAAGTGCAGGGCAGATACTTTATTGCCATATTTGTCAGCCAATAGTTCATGCCTTTTATTCTTTGTATGTATGTATCTGTGAAACCAACAAGGTGGAGTATTCCCAAAACGAAATTAAGAGCTAAGTGGCATCAGATATGCAAAGCAACTGAGTTAGACTTTTTTCAGCACAAAATGGGCTTGCTTTCTTACCTTTTAAGGAAGAGGTGTCATATTGGTCTTTTCCAGGTTCTGCGTGCTGGAGCAACTCAGCGCCCACTTACTCCCAATCAGGGTCAGCAAGGGCAGCAGGCAGAGTCACTTGCAGCAGCTGCAGCAGCAAATCCAGCTTTGGCTTTTGGTCAGGGTCTTGCTACAGGCATGCCAGGTATGTATGTTACCAGTGGATTGAGAGAATCGCTGAAATTTCAAATATTGGTGTTATTACATAACAAATTAACTCTCCCAAGTCCTGTTATGTTTATGGTAAGCTGCTTAGAATTGAGTTCTACATAGTTTTATGTTGTTCAGTTGGATTAAAATACTGGCACAGCATTCTTAGAGCACAAGAAATTTGGAGCAATTTCTCCTGTATTTGTTGTTACAAATGTGTGCACAAGGAGTATTGTTGGCTTTTGCAGGAGAACTTCATGTATAATGAAGCAACTGCATGCTGTGTTAAAAGATCATGAGTTGTCTGGTTGTTCTGATGCAACAGGAAGTATTAATTTGTCTTCTTGAAGTAATGTTTTACTTGTGGCATGTAATAATAAAATCTAAAATGCAGAATCCAAAATTAGGAAATTTTACTGCTTAGTCATCTTTGAAGATCACAATGTGCTTGAAGTGGCAGCACTCCAAAGCTTGGAGCCTTGGATCCTTTTAGCATACATGGCTTCTGACTGTACCCGGGCAATAGGTATTCTTAGTCTCAGTACGTATGTCATGCACAATGCTTGAAGTTCAGCATTGCTTTAAGGTGTTTGGTACGATTACCTGAGCAAGAACAAGTTAAGTATACTTGGCCATTCTTCAATATGAAAGCTAAGATTTTACTTGGTTAAGTTAGGTAATGATGAAGGTAGCTGCAAATGAGTGAGACTTGTGCAAATTCTCTCTGTCAGTGCTGCTGTGAAATGCTTCATAACCTTCAGAAGTCAGAGCTAGTTTGTTGCTGGATGCTCCAGGACTGCATTGCACATTTCTCCTTTCATGATCAGATTCTAAACCTCTAGCTGCACAGCAGACTGGCTTTTGTGTTTTTCTTGTCTGTTTTGTTTTGTAACTGCCATTTTTATTTCTTACCATGTGGTAGTATCTTCAGCTTTTAGCATCTTTCTCTTTCACATAAAATGAGGAATCAGCAAAGTGTGCTGTCACAGCACCTGTCAAATGCTGTCTGTGTGCCTCACCAAAGCAGTGGAGAAAGCCTGCAGTGATACCAGAGATGCTATAAGCATCTTTTTGCAAAAGCTTTGAAGGTTTAGCTATACTTCGTTTTGTATGTCTTTGGGGGACAAGTCTTTGTGTGTTTATAGTTCCTTACTAGTTCTTGCTTCGGACATGGAGTTCTAAAACTGTGGGGTGGTCCATGACTTGTAAAAAGCCTGTGACATTTAGCTTGACTCTGATCAACATGTGAGACCTTGATCCAGCCCAGATTTGTGACTTTATGTCACAAAATAAGAGCATTATTTTCAAAAAATAAAGCATCTATCTTAAGTCAAGGATAGTTCTTAAAACCCACAAAAAGGCACCCTCTCCAAATGGATGATTAAAAGTAATACCGGGTGGTCAAATACAGGATAGGCCCTTGCATTACTGAGTTTATGTGAAGATTGGACTTCTTTCCTCCACAAGTCCCAAGAGGTTTTCCATGAGGGCAGAAAAATTTTTATTCAGCTTCCATTATAGGGTGCTGCTTCATCCCATCTGCTGCGTGCTTGGATGGAGGGACAGAAACTTCATTCAGTTTTTCTGTTCTGTCATAGGAATTGTGTGCAACTGGCATTCAGCCTTACTGACCACACTCTTACAGGGAGTGGGGATCAAAATATAAGCAAACCAGACATTTATTTTCTCAGTCATTGTAAGATGGTTTTGTAGTGAGTCATAGGGAGTGCTGGTGATGCCTCTTTGGTGGAAGAGAGGGATATAGGATGATGAAATGAATATAGGCCACTTTAGATGGGAATCATGATTCTGTTTTAGATGTCTGTGATCTAGATACTTAAGGCTCCTTTTGTAGGTAGTGAAGAGAAACAGGAACTTTTACTCGTGGTTCATCTGTCTCTATTTTAGTTACCTGATTTAGGATAAAGTTGGTTTTGCTCCAGAGGTGCCCTATTCTGTCCACTTACTGTAAAATTGAATCAAAATTACTAAATTACATCTAGATAGCAAAATGTGATTAAGTGAATCCCAGGTAATAACCACTGAACACACGTAATAGCAGAAAATATGTGGAATTCTTGTTTCAGGTGACTTAGATGTTTTACAAGAAAGCATAAGTCCAGACTGAGTTTCAAGGTTTTGAATATTCTTTACGGAGATAGCATCTGTAGTTAGGCTTCACTGTGAGCTAATAAATGAGTATATTATTCAACTTGCCTTACTGCTGTCTTTAAATTGTTTCTGCTGCTTTCTCCTTGCCACAGCCTTCATGTTGAATGAAATTCATGAGCTCTCCCAACTATAGGATTGTTTTAGTTTTCAAATTTGGTGTTTCTGTATTTATCATTCAGGGAGGTGTATTCATGTGACACTTAAGGCACATATCCTAAGTGCAAAGGTAAAGAGTCTGAATTCCAGCTACTTTTCACTTTTTTTTTTTTTTAAATCTCTTTTCAGAAAAAAAACCACCAAACAGGTTCTCTTTTAAAACCATCAAAAGTGAAATACATTTTGCATTGGAGTTGTGCAACTGTTTTAAACTCTTCCAGTGCTAATTTAGCAAGTCTTTGAGTAACAAGGATTCTTAGGATCCAGACAGTTTATTATTGCAAAAATGTGCAAGACAAAGCCAGAGGCTACTCCCAATTTTGTCATAATATGATCAGTTTATGTTCTTTTCTACAAATAAAACCAGTCTTCAACACAGACAACGGCTGGACTCTGCTTAGTCATCCTAATTCAGGAATCTGCACATGACCTCGGCTGTCTAAGGAGTCATTGTGCTCAGTGGAGATCTCCCTAGTGTAGTTGCTGTCCAGAGGCTGCAGAGCTGCTCAGCTTACCCTAAAATAGATGTCTTGCAGCAGGTCAGCTGAATCCCACCGGAGGCTTCTTTGACTGCATTGGCTAGGTCAGATACGACTTACTCTTTACTGAATTCACGCAAGTGAAGCTGTTAGAACTGACTGTAAGAGTGCATGTAGCTTGCAGGTGGGCATGTAAACAGAGTTGTCTGAAAAACATGTATAAAACATTAAGATCAACAGTTCTTGTCTATTGGCGCTGAATTTTTTATTACTTGGAGGAGTTTAAAGTGTGACATTGCAGTGGGTCATGCATTCTATGCTTCCAGGAAGTATAAATAAATGTCAAATTTAATTGTGGCAGGCATACAGGCAGTTACAGTATTGGCAAAGTTACTGTGATTATAGAAAGTATAAATCACTTACTGGTAGGATAGCAAGTTCTGAATTTGCATGAGGGCAAGTGCAGAGATAAGTGTGTACATCTTCATTGGAACAAATGAAAGGTAACTGTGGTTTAGGTTTTGGTGAGCTTGGGAGACTGAAGTGAAGACTGCAGCATTTAAGGAAAGATGGAAGATCAAGAGCTGAATAATTTTTCAAATCTGTATGCGGAGGAAAATAATTGGAACTTGGGAATGTTGAGAAAGGAGAAGCTGTAAATCTTCTGCATAGTGAGAGAAGACACTACAGTGACTTGCAGGTTATGCTCCTGAGTGGGGGGGGAGAGAGAGAGGTGTCAGGATGGTAGTGTTAAAAGGGGCAGATAATAGAGTTGGCAGGAAGAAGTGTCACATCTGTTAACTTAAATTGAGTAGAGAGAAGTGACAAACTCTGACATACGTTTGGGTGCCATCAACAAGGGAAGTTACACAGAGGGAAGGGAGTAGGAGATCTGGGCAGAGCTTTGTGATATTACATACAAAAATGTGAGAAGAGACTGTGAAGTATCCAGTGAAAGCCACTGAAGAAATTACTGGATGGATAAGAGCAACACTAAGAAAGGGCTGCATGAGCCAACAGAACAGATTTCCTCTCATTCTTTAAGAACATTTAAGGAAAAGAATTCAGAAAGTTTTCAGAGTCTCTGGTTTTGGAGACATTTAAAAATCATTTCAGCAAAGCACACTACTGATAAACCAGATTGTTTACTTTAATATTCCCTGCTGATCTGGAGACAGTAAGTGTAGATAGAGTGGTTGCATTCTAAAATAAGAGGTGTGATTAGAAACTGATTAGGAAGCAGAGTATGTTTTAGGTTTTTGGTTGCAGTGGAAGACTACAGTAACTTTGAATGTGAAGGCACTGCAAGGAGCTTCAATAGTTGTTTATCTGGAGTGGAAATTGCACAGCCACAGGGAGATGATGATGCGTGGAGAGGTAGTAAAAACTGAAACAGAAGGAGAGAGGGAATTAGAGAGGAGAAGACCTGGCAAGTCATCATCTTGTCTTTGATAAGAGAGAAGGCTGGAAATAGTTTTTAATTTTGTGCTCACCTTTCTGGGGTGGAGTGTGAAGATTGTAGAGTCCTGTGAAGGAAGGGAAAAGAAAACAGTTAAGATTTGCTATGAGAGCTGTTCTTCAGTTATTTAATCTGTTGTGAGGTAGCCTCTCTGAAATTGTATTTTTGATGTCAAACCAAATATTTTTATACCCTTGAGGCTGCAGATGCACTTAGCAAGATCTTGGCAATTTCACAAATAGTCCTACATTGCTTTGTTTTAGTAGATTTGAGCAGAAAACTAAGAGGCCTCTTATTCCAGGTCAGAATGTGTTAATTTCTGATACTAGGAACACAGAAGCACCCAAACATAGCTTGAACCTTCTGCAGTGGATGGTATCTTGATGCTAGTGATGTAGCCGGTTAGTGGGTGGCATCACAGATAAGACAGTGGCAAGGAACTCTCAGGAGAAATTAGGCATTTTGTAGAGCAGAGAGCAAGTGCAAGTGGATCCCATTTTTTTAAAGCAGTGTTCGTACTAGTCAATTGTTTTAGAAAATGAAAATTAGTTAATTTAACTGCAGTAGTATTAATCGCAGTAAATTTAATTTGTGCAATACTGTGTGAGGTTGAGGTTTTTTGGGGGTTGGTTGTGTTTGTTCTCCCCCCCCCCACGTTCTGGGCACAAAGTCTTGTAAAATGCTGTGTGTTAGTGTCATATGAGCACAAGGGTGTAAATATATGATCAATCCTTTTTTATACAGCTGTAGCATTATTGTACATTTGAAAAGGGTAGGTAGGGCAGAAAAAATATTGGTAAGTATTAGTCAATTCTGAGTTCTGAAAAAGTGGTTTTATAGGACACAGCAGTAACAAATGACAGGACCAACATAGGATTATCAGTTGAAAGTGCTATGAGTAAAAGTAGAAATTGTGTAGGTACTAGTAATTAAACACTGCTAATGTGTGCAGGAACATGTGTGGTACTCTATGCTGTGTTCTCTACTGAACTAGAGTAAAAGAGACAGCCATGGATCTGACCTCTCCCTACCTTGGGAATGTAGCAACCCTTCTTAGCAGTAAAGGTGGCAGAGCAGCACAGCACAGTTCTGTAGGTGGAAGAGGAAGTGGAACCTACAGTAAGGGTTTCCTGAGCAATTCAATTGTAAGAATCTGTGTTGGTTGGTTTTAACTAGCCAAACTTTCAGACAAACTCTGTGGAGGACAGCTGTCTTGCTGCGTTGTTGGTGAGAGAGAAAGTAGAAGCACCTGGAATACCAAAGAAGTGGTGAGCAGTGAGAACAAACAGGTTTGGAATGATAGTAATGACAAGCTTTCCAAAAAAGTATATTGCATTCCTCTCCAAACAGTGAATTGAACCTAAAGTTCTGGGTCTTAACCATTCCTCTCCTGTTCAGTTACTATCCAAGTCTCTTTCATACCTTCAGATCTTCTTGATGTGAGAGAATTTGGACCTGTGTTTCCAGCTTCCCTGCAGAGTATTGTAACCACCAGGCCAATAGGTAGATGATGTTTCTAGCTGGTTTTGGAGCGAGGCATCTAGGCAGAGGAGATTACAGAGATGTTTCAGAAATTGAGGAGGAGAAAATACGACTTGGAAGCATGGTGACTGAGATACTCATGTGGAATTAGAGGCCCAGGTCTTTATGTTCAGATCCATACGTATTTCAGAGAGAACTCTGCTAGACCTAACTCTGAGCATACATGGAAACTGACTTAAAATAGTGTGCAAAGTCTTGGTTATTACACATGCAAAAATAGATGTGTGATTTTTGTGATTTTTGCGTTTTTTCTTAAAAGCATTAGTATATATTTGAATATGGGAAGAATAATGAAATTCTTTTGTGTTTTGATTTATTGTTTTATAAGAATAGTCAACAAGATAAATGTAGAACATTTTCAGTTGCTGAAAGAAGTTGGTTCTGTAATCCGAATACGGCTAGTGGTGTTCCTGTACCTTTTCACTATGGTGTTAGAAGCTTACTTTGTTAACTTTGAAAATAAAATTCAGTTTTACTAGACTTAGCTGTTATTCTAGTTTTAACAAACTATGTAAAGCATTCCTAAATATGATTTTGTCACGGTCTTTTATGATGTTCACTGTTTTTTATTTTGATGTCCAGTTAATGTTCTAAGGCCATATGGCAGCTATGCTGTTTTCCCCCTTGTAGTTTGTTGTCTGTTTCAAGACTATTTCAAGGAGAGGAAAAAATGCTGACTGCATGAGACTATTTGTATGTCCTGGGTTCAGAATACTAAACCATGGCACTGTACTACTAATTCTTGTGTTCTATGTTGTGTAGGCTATCAAGTACTAGCTCCCACTGCCTATTACGATCAGACTGGTGCCTTAGTAGTAGGCCCTGGAGCAAGAACTGGCCTTGGAGCACCAGTCAGATTAGTGGCCTCAACTCCTGTTATAATCAGTTCTGCAGCAGCACAAGCAGGTAAGTATTTGATCCTGTGTGAAGGCTTCTTCCACTTTTAACAGTAATTTTGGTTGAAAAGTATTTGATACTGTTGATGTGTTTTGTATGCATCTGTGCAGTTTTCTAGCTGTGAAGGATATACCGTACACGCTTGCTCTCTTATACTGTTGCCTTCCTTTCTCTGAGACTGTTTCTCAGAGAGGTGGTTTTCCTTTTTTAATTAAAATTTACAGTCCTCTCCCCATACCTATACAGGCATGTTTCTGCAGATGTTGTTGCTTGTCAGATATAAGCATTTTACCCTTTCCTCTCCCCATGCATATAGCATGCACTTTTCATCAGTCCCCGAAATGGCGTCTTCTAGGAAGCATCATTTCATTGCTTCGGCCTGGCAGAAGATGATTGAGTGCTCTGGGCCTTGCTATGCTTTTCTTCTGAAAGTATTTTCTCCTGAAAAGTGTGGCAAGGAAAAAAGCTAGAATGGACAGCAGAAGAGGAGAATTAGTTATATCAAAAGTCTCTAAGTTTTCTTTTTTCTCTTTTTGTCAGTGATAAGGTCTGGTGCTACTTTACTGAACCATTGTATTTATTGCATTTGTTAAACTAAAATCCAAAATACTAGCACGAGATTAAATGAATCTGTTCAGAAAATTAGATTTTAAGTTAATCTGTAAGCTACTTTCTTGATGCAGAACTTACTTCTAGATGTCAGCAGCTGAAGATGTCTTTGAATGATTTAGCTGCAACTCTGCTATTGCAACTTTGAGCATAAAAGTACAGTTCAGTAAACAGTAATGTCTTGGATGTTTACACTGAAAATTCCATCAATTACATTAACAATTGTACAGCCTTGTTTAGCCTACAACATATGCTTTCTTCATTTTTTTTTTTTTTTTCCTTGGTAATGAAGACTGTGTAATACTAGAAAGTCTCTTTTAGTCCTTTAATATGTGAATTTCTGCTTGTTTAAGAGGGCTTCAAGAAAATACAATGTAGATCTGAATAGTCCATTTTCAGTCAGAAATGTTTGAGAGAGTAATTGTGATTGAAAACATGTGTTTTACAGCTGCAGCTGCTTCAGCTGGAGGAACAGCAAACAATCTCGCGGGAGCCACGAATGGGCTTTTTCGGCCACTTGGTGCCCAGCCACAACAACAGCAACAGCAAACAAATAGTAGCCTACAATCCAATTCATTTTATGGCAGTAACTCTTTGACCAATAACTCCCAGAGCAGTTCCCTTTTTTCACATGGTCCTGGCCAACCAGGAAGCACATCTCTTGGCTTTGGAAGTAGCAGCTCTTTAGGAGCAGCTATCGGCTCTGCACTTGGTGGATTTGGCTCATCAGGTAGGTTGTTAATATAGTGAGGAAATTCTGTGAGACTTCTGTGTTAAGCAAAAAAAATGTATCCAGACATCATATATACACATACATTTGTAGAAAGAATGCAAAAATAGGTTATTAAAACTTAAATTACAGGGAAGAAAAAAGGGGTTTTAAGTTCACTTGATCTCTGTATAGAAGATGCATTTTTGAAGAATAATCTGTAGTCATAGGTATCTCCAAAACACTTTTCCATATTGATCACTGTACTCTGCCCCAGAAGTTTGTTACTGATTTTGCTATGCTTTTTTATTATCAAGAAATCCTTCATTCCATGCTTAAAATAACAATTGATAATGTTTGAGATATGCATTCTTCTGTGTAATTTTCATGTCAGGAAAATTCCAGGTTTTTTAAAAAAATTAAATAGCATACGACTTTCTAAATTTGATCTAATATTGAAGTGTATGTTTCCATCACATAGGATTTATATAAAGTGAAAAGACTTAATACTCAAGTATAGTCCTTGTTAACTCTAGTAGGTTGAATCTTAGGTACAGTTAAGCCTAAATAGTTCTATGCAAGTTAGGGGCCTTAAATGACTTCCACAGATGCTCCTAAATATTATCATCCTGTTTGTACTGAACAAGGCAAAAATAAATAAATGTTGCCATCATCTTTCTGCCCTGTAGCAGAAGTTTCCTATTCACGCAGTTTTTAAATATGCAAGGTGGGTTTTCCTATATTTCAGATTCAGTACTAGTAAGGAAAGTAAAATATCTTTTCTAAAGAATATTTACTTTGGCTATTAATCTCTTTAAGTTACAGCTGTTATTATTATTTCATCAATGGACTGTGCTTATAGTCTTATGTATCTTGCAGATTGGTAGGAATTGGGGAAAATTTATGTACTCTGGCAGTATTCTTTTCGAAATTAAATGCCCTAAGGGAAATAAAAAAACCCTAAATGTTGAAATGTAAAAAGATTATTACAAGATAGTTTAATATATGGAAAAACGGAAGGAAAAACATGCCCTTCAGTGTTAAAGCACGATACCTGTTATTTGGTAACTAAATGGAGGTGAATACTGACACCAAATGTACTACATAACAACACAGTGATTTTTCTCATTTTTCATAAATAACCTGAAAAATTATTTACTTGAACAAAACTAAAGCTAGGGAATCAGAATCAAGTTTAACACTGATCCTCTTTAATACCTGATTTTTAAAGACCATCTTTAACAAAAAGATAAAAAGGCAGAGCCTACTCAGTCATGTAGGGTTTCTTAATTTTCCATAATATCACAGCAGGTAAATCTTATTTAAAAGTAACTGTGCTATCCAAGTGCTGTATTTTGTAATATAATTTGTCCTGAGCTACTTGCAGGGTTACAGTGAATTCTTAGCAGCTGTGTTCCACTCTAGGTGCAGTTTCATTTTATTGATAGTGATAAGTATATCTGCATATTGAAGGCACTGCACCCATTTTTAGTCTCTAGATAGAATGGTTTTAAGTCATGAAAGTCTTTATCCTGCATTACTCCATAGAATACAAATTTCCCTTGTGTATCTACTCAAGAAGAATCAGCCTAGTTCTTTCTGGCACAGGAGAATTAAGCCTTTTCCTTGTAGCAAAGGTCAGTTCAAGCTTTGTCCAAAACCTTCAGCATAGACAGCATACGCTGAAATCTTGCAGCAGTATCCCAGGTGATTTAATTAGCGTGGTAGTTTCCACAGGGAAGCAGGAAGCCTATGCTTTTGCAGTTTGAGAAGTGCTGATGAAAGGTGCTATCTAAACCTGAAGTATTTTCAGTAGTATCATTGGAATAAAAGTATATTGAAAGTGCCCTTCTGCCAAGTATAAATTGTACTTGCCATAACAGCCACTTTAAAAATGCTTCCTGGTTATTTTTTGTTCTTAAAGGAGTTCCTGAGCAGTATCCATATATGAAATGAATTACACCAATGAGTACTTATACAAATGGGGTTATTACATGTTGAGGCAAATTAAAAACAAGTTTAATTTATTATCTGCCAAAGTTTCATTTTCTTTGTAACTCCCTGCAGTGTGGTGTAAAGATTGAATTTCAGTTAAAATATAGCCATGAAGACTGACAAATGGCAATACAGATCTTCCCCTATGTTTTCAGTTGTTGCAGGGGGAAAAAAATAATAGCTCTGCAAAAAATGCAAAGGTGAACATGTTCTAGCTGAATGACTGAACCACAGAGAAAAAAACGGAAGAGGCAAACATACCATATAAATGGCTGTATGTACTTTACAGTCTCTTTTATTATGAAGTCACTCATACTCCATTTTAAAGGTTTAGGTACATGATAAGTTACTGCAGCTTAACAGGTAGCTAAGAATTAGATCCCCTACAGCAGCTTTCCAGATGCCTATTTCTGGTGTGTAACAAGCGTAAACTAATTGTATTAGCTTAGATAGTGGTAAAGAGGGGTAAGCTAATTCAAGTTATCTTCTGGGTTTTGTGAGCTTTGCTTGTGTGTGTGTGAAAATGCAGCTCAGCTGGTTCATGGTGACTTGTTAAGCTGCAGTAATTTAGCTGAGTAAGAAACCCTGAAAGCAAGCTAAAGTTTGCTTGGCTCTGTTCGTAGCTGGAAAAATAACAATCTCTCTTGTAGCACTGTATTAATATTCACATGGTTCAGTAGCTGAGCCAGAACCTGTAGAGCTAGTCTTAAATCTTGAGGTTTCTTTCAACTCCTGCCTTAATTTGCTTTTCTGATTTCTTACTCTCAGTCTCCTTGCCTAGTTAGTCCAGTATCTTTTCCTTTTGGCTTCTCCTCTAGTATGTCTTCCTTCCCAGTTTCCAGGCAACACCTATCTCTCACTTTCCCTTTTCCTTCCAAATATGTTTCTGTTTCTGCTTGTACTGTGTGATGTTCCCATCATCAGCTTACTATTTCCAGTCTTTTTGCCCCACAGTCACATACACCTTCCACGGCCCAACTTTTCTTCAGATCTGCTCTCTTTTCATCTTCAGTCCCACCAGTTTCAAAAGTGCTTGCCAGTTTTTCTTGCAGTCTCTTTGTTGGCTCCTCTGTCTGACCTTTCTCTCCTCCTGGTTCTGGTTTCTTTTTTCTTTTTTTTTTTCCTTTACCTTTTTCCTTGGTGTATTTCTTGTGTTTGGCTGTTGTCTTCTCTGCATTTGAAGTAGGCGGCTTCCTTTCCACACTGCCTGATGGGCTTCCCAAACACAAGGTGGGACCTTCAACAGCAATTTGAGTCCATTTTTAGCATGGCACACAGAAGCCTAGAAATTAAATTGCAGGGAAAACCTTTATCAGCCATCTCAGACGTGCTGTGTATGGACATGAGTTTCAAGTTTTCACCTATGATTCTGTGCTAAACTTCTATGAACTGTGATTTTTGCTAAGATTTTTAGCTCAATCATAGAACAGTTAGGGTTGGAAAGGACCTTAAGATCAGCTAGTTCCAGCCCCCCTGCCATGAGCAGGGACACCACACACTAAACTGTGTCACCCAAGGCTCTGTCCAACCTGGCCTTGAACACCGTCAGGGTCGGAGCATTCACAACTTCCTTGGGCAACCTATTCCAATGCCTCACCAACCAAATCAGATTGCTGAAGTGAAAGTCAAGGTCTCCTGTTGCTAGCATGTTGATCTGAGTACATGAAAGCATTAACTTCTCATGTAATACAGCTAGATTATTTTGCTAAGCATTATGCATCTTTTCCTTGCCTGTTTTTCTGAAATGGCAGTGATGTTTGGACAGAACTACTTTGCAAAATTTGGTCCAAGCAGGTACCTTCCATTAAAAGTATTGGCCAAGTTGCTAATGTTACGAAATAAAGTGTTTTCAAATAGGAAGTATCAGGTGACCTTTATATTGGGTCCTGCTGACAGTTTTAGTAGGAACGTACCTGACAAAGGTAAAGATTATGGAAGTATAAACTCTGGCCTTCTCCTTTTTAAATTGAAGTAGAAATCAATTTTCCAAATTCAGTTTAAGAAGCATCTTTGTTATCAAAATATCCAGAATCTTGGTTTTGTTCACAAGTATAATAATGTTCCAGTATTTACAATAGGCACTCTGGTTTAATATTTCACTAGTATGCAACAGATACGAGAATTTAACATTTCTAAAAACTTTTTATTGTTTTCCTAATTTGTCCTAGACTGTTCATCGCCCTGCTGAATGGTGCTGTGCAGGATAACCAGTCCTTCACTAATACACTGCTATCCAAGCTTCTAGTCTAATTCAACTTTCAGGAATACTGGTAGCAGTAAAATTACATTTTTAGTTTCTTACCGTAATTTTCCTGTGTCTGCTCTGCTTCTCATCTTGCTCTTAGCCTATTCCCTCTCTATGATATCTTTTCAAAACACCACTTTGAGAACCATAATTCTCGTAGGGAATTTTAAGTAGTCGTTTTTTTCCTACAGGTGAGGGGTTCACAAACAGGAAGAAGTTCAGAAACAGCTGAACAGGAACATAAATTGTTTTCTGAACCCTTAAATGGCAATAACCATTTGTCTTGAGCCTTTTGCCTGAAATCAAGTATCATTGTCTGATAATTTACAGTGGAAAAGAAATTATCAAAGAGTTTAGTGAGAATATTTTTAGAATAATTTACTCTATGAAGTGATAGTGTAACTTAATCTCTTAAATTCCATGTTTGTCCCAAAGCCTGAATCCAGGCGGGTAAATCAGAGTACTGCAATGTTACTGTGAGAAGTCTAGAATGAAATGTTGAAAGACATGGGCATTGGTGAAATTACTTATCAGTGGTATGTTTATACCCACTTAGATTTACTTGAAAGCATGTGTGGTTATCACAGTAATTGTCTTTGTCATAACGATTGCTGTAATTATTGTGATCGCATCTGTTATTGCCCAGCTGTAGTTGGGGATAGGTTTTATTCAGTTGACACTGTGTAATTAGGGTCTTTTTATTTCTTCTTCAGTTGGCAGTTCTGCAAGTAGTAGTGCCACAAGGAGAGATTCTCTATCTACTAGCTCTGACTTGTACAAAAGATCTAGTAGCAGCCTAGCACCCATAGGGCAGCCATTTTACAATAGTCTGGGATTTTCCTCCTCTCCAAGTCCAATAGGCATGCCTCTGCCAAGCCAAACGCCAGGACATTCACTTACGCCACCGCCATCACTTTCATCACATGGATCCTCATCCAGTTTGCATTTAGGTAAAAAAATACGAAAACAAAAAACCAAAAAAACACTTTTTGTTTGTATGTGTGTATGTATTTCTATGTGTAAAATATATGTTGCATAAGAGATGTCACGTTACCTTTGCTGTTAAACAGTTTTGTAATGAAGAGGGACCATTCCTGAAAGGTGAAGAGTGCTCTCAAATGCTCATTGATTTAACAGTGGAGGACACTCAGCTTTTTGCAGGATCGGGCCAACAGCTGATTTTTCTTCCCTTGCAGAAGCCCGATAAGAGAGCCCAGTAAGATTTACTGGTCCTTTGTGTATTATGTTTCTACAGTATGACAAGCAAAGGTGCATTACTTTTTTTTTCTATTTCAGTGTATTACCACTTCAGGGGCATTTTAAGATGATGCTGTGTTTAACAGTGAAGTGACTTTCACTATTTCTCCCTACTTTTCTAAAGTAGGAAAGTGAGCAAAGCTCTCAATGTAAAATGTATTGAAAGGTGTTTTTCGCATCAGTGAGCCTACTACCCCATGGCCCAGGTGCTGTGCCAGGAAGACGATAGTTTAGCACCAGGCTGGTGGAAAAAATAAAATGCATTTGTGAAAGAAATAGCAGTGGTGGCTCTCTGTTATCAGATGCATTTTTTAAGGAATGATGATAGTAATGTTTTAGAAAATCTTTTGAGCTAGTTAGATGACACAGGAGCTCAAACTTTAAAAACAAAAAACCAATAAATTTAAAAATCTAAAGAAACCCCACCACCGCCTACAGTATATTTGGAAGATAATGCCTCTAACCTGAGGTTACTTGATAAACTTTCTCTGTTTGTTGCTGCAAATATTTGTGGTCATTTAATTTGGATGCTAAAAGTCATACAGTAAAACCAGCTGTCATCTCAACATTGAGTTGCCTGTTGCTCCAGTAACTATTCAGTGCATGATTCTATTCATGTAATAGGCAACCTAATCCCCTGTACTTCTGTAAGTACAAATGAAATGGGAAAAACTTTTAAAGTGCCTACAAAAATACACTGAGACATGTGTGAGTGATTTGTATAACAAGGTTTAAAAAGTAATCTAAATATATTACATTTCCAGTTTAGTATCCCCTTCACAGTTAAGTGCTGAATACCCAGAGTAAAACTGGGCAAGGGGATGTTTCAGCACGTTTTATTTTTTTTTACTTACCTTTTTTCCTTTTTCAGGTCTACAAAGTGCACCTTTGGGCTGAGACCGAGCATGGAAAGTTTCAGCCCAAATGGAGGCTTTTGAGAAAGTTCTGAACATCTGACAATGGGGTTATCATGGAAATCTTTTTCTTTCTTTCTGTTCAAAGTACTCTCACAATAGTTTTCATATGGCTGAAAACTATACTGAAATCAAATTTTGGAAGGCATTATCGAAAATTCAAAACATCCAAAGTTTTGTGTTGTTTCACATTTGATAAATGTCGAAAGACCTTTTTCAATGCTGAGAAAATAAAACTGTGATCAGTATAGAGGATTACCGCTGTCAGCAGAAATTAAGTACTGATTTGAATCCATTTAGGACTGTTTGGCTGTGTGAACTAAGCTTAGTAGCTTGTTAAATCATGTACTAGATCAGTGTGTAAAGGCCAGAATGTACAGTTGTACTCTGAAAATTGACACAACCTTGATGGCTTCCATGTGTACTGCCTCTTTTATCTTCCAGATGAAGTGGACCTTGATTATGGGTAAATTTTTCTACCTTATGAGATCAATCTGAAATTTGGCAATTGAGGTTTTTTGGATTTTTGCTTTCACAAAAATGCAGTAATTTTTTCAGCATTTCCTGCAGTCTGCCTTGTGTTGTGCCTTTGCGTAGTTACATCCAAGGTGCACTATCACAGAAAGTTGAAGACTATTTCTGCAGCTACTTGTCTGTCCTGTTGAATTTATTCTGGTGTGTTCATCAACCACTTTTGGAAGCATTTGTTTTGTTCTCACATATATAAAATTAAAAAGGCAAAACTTTCTCACCAAGTGAGAAGTTACACCTGAAATCAAAGAGTGTATATTTTAAGGGTATGATTATCACATAGTCACTTTTCAGAGTAGAACAGCATTATAAGTTCATGTCTGCATGCAGTTTCCATTGGTATTTTGATAATGCCTGTCAAATGCAGCTCTCCCTCCACCTTCAAAACTTGTTGTCCTGCCTGCTTAATATCAACAGGTTCAGCTAAGTTTAAACTGCTGTTTTAAAAAGGGCATCGAACTCAGTTGCTCGTGTTTCAGCCACCAGAATACTAGAGCACAATACTGGGCAAGGGTGCATGGTTTTATAACCCCTTTGTCAGACACTGCTGCAGTTTGTAGCTTAAAAGACCATTTTCCCTTTTAAAAGATACTTGTGATATTTTACTGGTTTTATCTCTTCTCACCAACTCTTATCCAACATCCTAAAGTAGAAATGTGTTAATTACTTTGTTCCAGTGTCAGTTTTCCTGCATTTGAAGGGATTTGTCAGTTGTCTGTTAACTGCTTCTTTACTGTAATCAGTTGGAGCAGTAAGGTCATGAATTTGAACTACCCTTTCACTCCCAGGGAAAAAACAGGAGAAAGTATTTTGCCTATGCTATAAAAAAATCCTTTTAGCTTGGTAGTGCTTACTCTGTTTGATGGTACATTGCAGCCTTTCAAGGGTTTGGTGTAGAGTAGTATTTTTAAAGTCTGGTGCTTTTGGAGGTAATTATTTTGTGTGCATTGCAAGCCAAGCTTGTTAGTAGTTCGGATTTGATGCTTTTGTCTTCAGAAGTGGTCGTTCTGGGTAAGAGTAAAGGGCCCTTGGCAGTAGTGTGGGGAACTTTGCATTGCTTCTGCTGTGTACCTACTCCATAGTGCTTTGGTAAACCCAGCATAATAAGCACTGGCATTGATTCGTAAAGTATGCATACATATTATATGTGTAATTCTGTTTTCCATATGAAGATGAAATTTTTAGCTGAGCATGAGGTGAAGCTTCTTTTTTTACAGATGATCAAATACTTTGTAGAAATTAAGTCTTGAGTGTTTACTTGTGCGTATTTTACTAGAAAATAATATTGCTGACTGATGTAAACAACAGGTACTGTGCAGTAAATCTTTCGTGTCTTGATTAGGAGACTACTGAAGAAATACTTTAGTAATATGTACTAACAGACTAATGCTATCAAAATTAATGTGCCTAGATCTAGTTTTAATATTTTCATGTTCTCCTTTACATTAAATATGCTATCCACATTGAGGAGTTAGTAATTTAACATGCTTTGTCGTCTTGAAGCTTATTAAGGCTCTGTTTTAGATGGTCTGTATCCCCTTGATACCTCTGTGCTGTTGCTTCCCTGTGGATTAGCCACAGGGATTCAGGTTCAGTTAAAACTGTAAAACAACTTAATTATTATTCATTGCATCAGAGATCTTTGTTTTTACAAGATCAGTAGTGATTGCTAAGTGATTATCTGAAGAATAAACTGCACACTTTAATTCCCCAGCAGTTTGTAATCGTGTGGCTGTACTGATGCCTGATACAGTGTTTGCAGAACTGCTTAGACTGGGTACTTTATTCAGTAAAGAATGTTCCCCAAACAATTTAGAAGACCTAGGCCATTACCTTTCTAGTTCAGAATCTCTGAAACAAGTGTCCTGAGTTCTGGAAGAGTGCAGAGATGCAATAGGCCCATCAGGAGGATTTGGGTAGCTAGAATTCAGATTCCAGTTTTCTAAGCTATTCACACTCTTTTTCAGGAAGCAGGCCAGGTGTCCTGAATGTCCACATTAATGCTTTGGTGGTTTTGGACTGACAAAGTAATGAGTACAATATTTAGGAAAATAGCCCATTGTATACAAGAGTATATGTGCATATAGTAAGTACCTATGACAATGTGCTCTTAGTTCGTGGGTTTTAGTATTTTTCAAATCTGCAAAGTTGCCACTGAGCTGTAACACTGCTGCTGTAATGAAAGGTTACATGAGAAGAAAAGCAAATTGCCTTTTAAATTACTGTTCTTTCTAATAGTGTCCAGGGTTTTACAAGGTTAAGCTCTCTGTGTGCTTTTGAAGTCTGACAGGTTCTTCAAGGCACAGTGGGTATGTTTTCAGTCCTTCCTGTGTTACGATCCTGCTTAACGTGAATGTCTGAAGTAGTTTCACAGGCTAGACAGGAGCCTCCCAGCTGCAGCCTAGTCATCTTACAAGTCTTGAAAAGGAATGGTTCGCAAATTAAGTTGAAGAAAGGCTTGGTAATCCTGATTGAAATGTATTGAATACCTGCAGTTCTGCTACACATATATAGCGTATTTGTTAAAAGCTAACATGTTTCTTAATTTCTGTTAAAAAAAAATAAAAGACTGAAAGAATTCCTGATTCACATGTGCATTTCCATGACGCTGTATGCTAATTAGAGGCATGCAGTTTGAGAGCCTGTAACCAAAACTGCCCTATTAGTTTCTGGCACAGAATTGAGCATGTGATCAGTGGAGCAATAGCGATGCTACAAGAAGAAAGTAGCCTCCAAGACTTCCTTTTAAACGGGCTTTGCTGCCCTCTCGTGGCATTAAGTAGTGTTACTACACAGCATTTACAGGGAAGCTAGGATTCCATTAGTACATCTAAGTAATGTCCATGAGAAATACCATAATTTCAGGTGCATAACTTTTCTTTTGAAGGCTGTTCCTAGAAGAAAAATTACTGTAGAACATCACTCTGCATACTGAGTGTTTGCAGTTGGGTTTCTTATGTTGGGTTTCTTTTTATTTCTTGTCTATTAGTATCATATTGCTGTCAGCTCTTTTCAGGAACTAGTGATTGTCCATGAAATTTAAAAATTACATTTAAGAAAAACCTTTATTTTTCTGGCTTTAAAGAATTAAGAGGCTTTAATTTAAAAGAAGCCTAGTGGGTTTTACAAGATATTGTGAGGCATGAAGTTTTTACTGATTCTTTACTGATTCTTACCACTGAATTTTGAAAACTAATTTTAAAATAAATACTAATCTTTTTCTACTTTAGGGCATAATCCTCTACAGTGCAATAAACATGATGCTTGATATGTCTTGCAGAGCACTAACATCTCAGATTGTGGTATTGCAGTTTGACCTTTTGAAAAAGATACTTTACCATTAATACATTACCAGCCCACTGTAACACTATTGTTGCCTGGCCTGATAAATAGTTGGAACCAAAGTAAGGCTTGGCTGGGGCACTGTCAGCTGATTTCTTTTTTTATTGTATTTTTCATTAATTTTGTAATAGAGCACCATTCAAACAGCACGTACTGCAATTTATTTTAAATTCAAGTGTAGATATTTCTTCTGTGGACTTTGGAAGGGCTTTCAGTTACTATGTCACTTTCTAGATGGGAAACTGCAAATGCTTTCCTTTTCCAATTCATGCTTGATAACTTTAGGTTGTTGGGTTTCAGTTTGGGGTTTTTTGTTTGGGGTTTTTTTTTTGTTTTTTTTAGTATTAGAGTTGAGATGTCTGTGTGGGAATTGTCTTTGAATATTTCTGCTTGTAGTGCAGTATAGTACAGATGCTTTGTTTGCATGCTGCTTAGGATAATTGTTGCCTGTTGTACAGTAGAGAGGAGGGAGGCCTACTAGAGGAATTCTGAGTGATATAAACTGATCAGGGAGCAATATAGGAGAAGAAATTCGCAGGACTGTGAGATGATGATAGCTGTAGGTGGAATCACTAGCAAAAAGGAGTAGGACATAAACATAGGCAAGGGCAGATGTAGTGAGAGTGAGAAACGGTTTTGCAGCAAGGAAAGGATTTCATGTCTCTAAAAGGAACTTCAGTTTTATGTATCTTTGGTTGTTTTAGAAGTAAGTAGAGTATTCTTAGTTACCTTGTTTGAAATTTGACATATTTAGTGCTTACATGAGGTGCCAGATTGAAAGCCTAGGATGCTGAAGTCATCAGATCTGCAGAACAGGTACAGCATGACAAGAGGCACCATGTGTGCCTCCCCAAAAGTGCCCTTTCACACTGTAAGTTGGAAAGGTACCTCAGTAGGGACTGAAGGGTAGTTCAGATTTCATGGTCTATTTTGAAACAATTGGCTAACTTTGAGACTTCTAACAAGAGTCTAAGTCAGTACCACTTGTGAAGTGGAAGTCTGCCCACTGAGCTAAGGCCCACCCAGTTTTAAAGTTTCTGTAAGTCTGGGTGTTCGCTTTACCTGCTTTGTTATATTCTTATAATGACGTGTCTTTTCCTGGTGCCCTTCACATAAAATAAAAATGAGGAGGATGGTTTTACTTGTTGAAAGATAAAGCTATCTTAACTTCTCCATCCATAATGAGGTAAATACAAATAACAAGACAATGCTGTTGTTTTCTTTGGCTCCAGGGTGTATCCGTAGTTCTAGTATACTTAATGTTTTGCTGCTGCTTATTTTCCTTACGGCTTTTACTGACAGAACTGCTTCCTTGTAGGAGGACTGACAAATGGTAGTGGTCGCTATATTTCTGCAGCACCTGGAGCCGAAGCAAAGTATCGCAGTGCAGCAAGTACCTCCAGTCTCTTTAGCTCCACCAGTCAGCTCTTCCCTCCTTCACGCCTTCGTTACAGTAGGTCTGATATTATGCCTTCTGGACGTAGTCGGTTGCTGGAAGATTTCAGAAACAATCGTTTCCCTAATCTTCAACTAAGAGACCTTGTTGGACATATTGTTGAGTTTTCCCAGGACCAGCATGGTTCTAGGTAATTATTGTAGTCAAGTTAATAACTTAATAATATTCTACTGCTTTGTCATATTAACATCAGACGTTTGAATGAGCTGCTAGTCATCTTAATAAAAAGTGTGCCATTAATTGGAGCAGATGCTCTTACATTGACCTTTTTATTCTCTTAAGAAATCTCATTATAAAAGTAGCATAAATTTAACTGCTTGTAGAAGTTCTCAGTGTAGAAATAGCCTCATAACTAGACTTGTAAACTCTAGTATTTGGGTATCAAAAAGGCGTTGATTAAGAAAACAAAGTATCTGGCATCTGAAATGCAAAACCATTTTTCGGCAATACATCATCAGGTACTTAGTTATTGTTACTCTTTTCATCTGTAATCCTTCTCAAATGAAAGTTTTTACTAAAATGCATTCTTTTATATGCAGAGGCACTACTTTCATTTTCATTTTATAAATGTTGAATACTCGCTTTAGAATTTTGAGGTGTCTCATTGAAACAGCATTTGAGAGGTTTTCCTGTTTATGTAAAGCATAATGGACCTTTTTTGCACTTAGATTTATACAGCAAAAGCTGGAGCGAGCTACTCCAGCTGAGCGCCAGATGGTATTTAATGAGATCTTGCAAGCAGCATATCAATTGATGACTGATGTGTTTGGAAACTATGTAATACAGAAGTTCTTTGAGGTAAGCATAAACTAAGTGTAAGAACAGAAATTAGAATTAAATGCTTTTAAAATCTGCTTTTCTTAACATCATAGCAGAATTCTGCTGGACTTTTACCGCAGAACTGAAGTATATAATACTGCACATGTGTTTTCTGTTCACTATCCCTTACTATGTTTTCATAACAGGCACAGTTTCTCTCTACACTGGTGGTGTATATATTGGTGAATGTTGGTGAATGCACAGGCTGCATGCTCAGGCTTTTCAAGTCTTTTAGCATAATTTGCAGAGACTTTCAGCAGCTGATGTGGAACATAAGGATTTGAAGGATACTTTTTTATTGGTAAAAGTGGGTCTGGAAAATACTCTTGCACCCATATAAATATCTGTGTCAATTTCATCCAGTGCTGTATATGAAGAAACTCGTATTGTGCTAACTCGGGAGCTTATGTGGGGATCTGGGAACAAGGTTGTGTGTATTCTTTGGAAGCTTGACTGGGTTGTACTCTGCTCAGTGTGGAGCAGTACTGAAGATTGTAGTATTGTATAGAATGTAGTAGCATTGTAGAGGGAATAATACAGGCAGGAAATAGCTACTGCTGAAAAAAGGTTGGTTGAGTTATACTCCTAATCCAGCCACTGCACAAAACATTTTGATTTTGCTCTGCGAAACCCCAAGTATTTCTAGAGTTCCCAAAGTGCCCGTTGTGAGAATGACAGTTCAATCCACGTGAAGTTACCAAGATGCTATTTCAGGGGTTGAAATCTTCTCCTCCACCCCCTCCTGTTACAGCTTGCTTGCTGTATGCAAGATGTAAGATACACTGACCAGTACAAATTTGAGATAACAAAGAAAATCTGACTTGAATTAATATGTTATAGTAATTTGTAATTAATTTGCCTGTTATAATTTGTCTAAGTAAATGGGTTATTGCATTTACACATTCCTACTGACAAATTACTTCGATTTCTTCAGTCGTTGTCTTTCAAGGCCATGCATTTGATAGCAGTAATACAACTGGAATATGGAATATTACAAAATGTTGCTTTTAGAAAATAAAATATTCTGATAAATATAGCCACCAGAAATACAAAGGGAAAAATTATTCAAGGTGCACAGTAAAAAATAAGTACTACCTCTGACATGTAGATTCCAGCATGCTGCAATATGTCTTCATTTGTTAACATTCATAAATATTTATTTTCTTGTAGTTTGGAAGCCTGGATCAAAAGCTAGCCCTAGCAACGCGCATACGTGGCCATGTTCTGCCATTAGCCCTACAGATGTATGGTTGTCGTGTTATTCAGAAAGCACTTGAGTCAATCTCGCCTGACCAGCAGGTAATTGTAAGTTAGAGTTATACTTTTTTTAATTTTGTTTCTTCTTATTGTGTCCGTCTCTTTACTTGCTTAAATTGAAGGGAACGATCAACATTATAAAATTCCCTGGAGACTAAAATAGTTGCTTAAATTATAATGCTGAAATATACAAGTAAACCATGAGTGAATGTGAAGATTGGACAGTTAGGAGGAAATGGAATTTACTTTGGGGGTGGGGGGTG